CATGCTTAGCATTGTATTCAATCTCAAGAACCTCCCCTCTAGCTATGGGAACACAGAATAAATACAGACAGTGAAAAAGGGGAGGCAAGTCAAAACACAAAGAAAAACACAAAATTAGGATAGTATTTTAAGGATAAACACAGACCTCTGTAGTTTTCTGCAGATACCATGCAGCTATTTACGCAGTCAATTAAGTTTTTCAAACAGGTCATATCAAATAAATTTTAATTACTTAATAAATGACATACTTAATGAGGAAAAAGGTTCAAGGATGAGAAGATCTGCTCTTCTCCGTTTTCAGAATGCTGTCAATTTGTATTTTTTTCCTCCTTTTTAGAGCTAGACTTAGTCTGCTACCATTTCCTCATTGCTGTAACTCACAGTTTCCCCAGTTTGCAGTAAAAAAAGCCAGGTTTTTTGGTCATTCTAGTGCTCCTCCCTACCTCTCCTACCTTCCTGTAATCTTCTGCTTTAAACTCAAGCTTCTTTCATGTCTCTTTCAAGGTTCTTAAGAAATCAGCCAACAGCTCTAACCTCATTCCAGTCACTGCCCTGCTTCCATCCCATGTGGGATTGTAAGCATTTCTTCTTGTTTCTTCTGCAATAATTTCTGTGCCCGCTCCCATTCTGTGGAGAGTATGATTTCTTTTTCTCTCCTGGCATGTTTCCACTCTCTTTCAAGACAGTTTTCAATGCTCTTATTTACAAAGTTCCTATTCTGAGATCATTTAGGGCATTACATTCAGAATGATCTCTATGATCAGACTGTTCCAAAGAGAGTTTTGCTGGCAATGTAATATTCTTTCCTTGCTGATAAGTGAAATATCTAATGCAAAATCATGTTTTCTTCAGGTTGCTTGTTACTAGAGCTGCACACTGGAAGGTGGCAACACAATAAGAAAAAAGCATTGCTCCTTTTCCAACAAACTTGGTTAAAATGCCAATGTTTAAAAATAGGTACTCTGAGGTGACTGTGCAGAACAGTTGCTGCCAGTAAAAGGATGCACTCGTGGTTTAGAAACTTAGCATCAAACTTTAGGTTTTCCTAATCCAGAGATCCAGGCTCAGGCTTCAATTCCATAAACCACACAACAAAGGACATTTTAAAAAAAACAAACCTCAAGAATTACACTTTATAAGGAACGGCACTTTCCAATCTCAATCAGAACATTACCACAAAGACTTTACAATAACAGAAACTATATTTGATTTCTGAAAATCTAGCTTCCTCTAAACTTGTGTTCTCATTCTTTTTGTGCCAGGATCCTATCTTATTGTTGACATGAAAAAGGACAAAATCAAAAGATAATTCATTTGAAATATTGCACAATTAAGAACTAACTTTTGTCACTACCCTAGTACATTTAAAGTTTAGCATTTGTCAGCAGTATCTATATATTTGTATCCAACATTTTCATAATGCTTGTAAACAAGGTACTAATTTTGTGGTTTTGGAAGGCATTCTTATAACCCAGCACAGAATTTACATGCATTGTATTACAAATGCACAGGCATATGGGACCGCACATACACCACCATCCCACCCTGCCCAGTTCTCTTTCCAATGCCTAAGTTTCTCTGTTTTAAGTTTCTCATAGCTAAGTATTACATAGCATCAAATACTACAGTTAAAATCACATTGTGGAATATGATCATACTTAATTCTGTGCTTCTGAAACTTCACTTACACAGGACATCATTAAAAAATTCCACCTGGAACAACTGCAACAATTTGAAGGTAATACTTCCCATATTAGTAAATCCAATTAGCACACATCTGAAAAAAACCCATTTTGTAAACAATGACCTGCTGTGAGACACTTTCCAAAGACTTTCGTAGGAATCCTAATATGGAACTTTCTCCGCAGAGAGGTGAAAGTATAAAGAACCGCAAAAACATTTAAAAAATATTAAAAGCCTTTCAAATAACAAACACTGAATAGATTCTCTAAAATTCTAGCTTACGTGAGTAGCAAAACTGAACATGGACCATCTGACAGAAAATGCTTCTTTCTGCTTTCTTAAACAAGACTGAGAAGATCGAGAACTCACAATCCAAAGGAGAAAGGCCAACAAGCATGCAGGTAGTAAAAGTACAGTTGTGGACTGCAGGTCACAACAGAACTGGCACTCTATTTAATGCTGTACTCGGACATGTTGGGAACTGGCTTAAGAGGAGCTATGGGGTGATATTCCATCATTCAGAGCGGCTGTAAAATGTATCAGCCAACACTTAAAGCTCACCCATTATTTAATAATGGGGCCATAAATTCCAGTGCCTACCACGAATTCCAGTTTGGAATAATTACAGGCTATCTACCTACATTTGCCTGACGTTTTCAAATATGTACACTTCTGGAACTGTTCTGCAACACTAGTTTTTACTTTTGGGCTATGTGCCACATTTAAAGCTGTCCCAGAGGCTATATTTAATGGAATGGAAATGTTTTGCTATAATTTACTTCAGGCATCAGTTTGGATGATAAATACTCAGTCTGTTGCATCCAGTGTTAGCAGCTTAAAGATGTGGCTTCAAACATGGTTTGGTGGGCTGTTACAAAACTTCTCATTGAAAAAATAAACTATCAGACCAAAGTAATTTTAAGGAAAATAACACTCATTATGCTAATTCAGGTGTTGTGGTCTGAAAGCTGGTATTAGGATAGGTTTAATTTTACAGAATTCATGAGAATTTTATATGATAAATCTTCCACATATTTATTTTCAGAGTGTCCTGATAGCTTCTCTAAAAAATTCTTCAATTTTTATATCAGCATTTTCATCTCCATTCCCCTCAAAGATACTAACTTAATTTCTTTCTAGACAAAATGAGGTTATATATTTGTAAATGATTACTTCAAAAAATTGCTTATGGCTTTTTCATTGTTCACTGCTTTTTCACTGATGATCCCCTGGTTTCCCAGAGAAACCCAGAGGTTCAGCATAATCATGGCCAACAGACAATCTCTTATACACACTTTAAGAAACACTTGCATTTTCAATTGCAACCTTCTTAGTTATGTACTTTCATTTTGTATCATTCAATCACAAAAAAAAAAAATTATCTATTTCAGTTGAAAAGGATCAAATACAGTACTACATGATAGCTTGCCTATTTTTCTGTGTAATATAAAAACCTGAAATTATTTTAATTATTTTGTAAATAGAACAGGAAAATTGACTTTACTCCTTCCAGTGCTGGGAACTGGAGCTAGTATCAGTAAATAGTGGTACGATCCCCAAATGAAAGCAACTTTTTTTTAGCAAGGCAAGCTATGTATTTGTACATGGATCAATGTTCTGCATCATTCTTCCAACTGAAAAGCAGCTTCTCCAATCATAGTGTCACACCACAATAATACAAATGGAAAAAATTACAGTAGTGCAGTTTGATACTGAAGTGAGAGATCGATCCTTCCTGAAGCACTGTACGAAATGCAGCTTACTGTCCCGGTCTGTACAGCATCACTGTGAAAAAAGTTTCAGACTGATTTATTCTAAATTTCCCCACACAATTAAAATCTAACCCAAATCACTGTCCAGATTAGCATGCCATCCCATATCAGAAAGCAACACAAAACCAGATATTTTATCTATTAAATCTCAGGCAACTAAAATGCTTAAGCATACACTTAGAAGTTTCATACGACCCTTTTCAAATCTGCTGTTTAACTTCACACTCTTAAAAGGATATGACAGCTAAACTTCAATGCACGTTCATGTTTGATTTTCTTTTCCTTATCTTTTTGCTTTGAATATCAGGTTTATTTTAGTCAGTGCAAAACAGTGCAGCTATAAAGTATATGTGGATTTGATTTGGCAAGCTTGGGAAGAAAGACAGCAGAGATAATATGTCACTAAAATTATTACATAAATCAGACATGCTTTATGGGGTACTCCATTACTATGTCACACCAGTTAAAGGACTACTTGTTCTTTCCTTTAAACAGTATGGATGGATTTTTAACAATCAAGAGCTCTATAATTGCAAAGGCAGACCTCATAAAGACTCAAAATTCAGTTTCCAAGATATTTTAATTAAATCCCAAGTCCAAAAAGTCTCCACAACAAAGCAGACAGGAAGAATATTAACTGGAAATATGAAGCTCTATGACACTAATACCAGAGATGAACCTACACTGCTTTAAAGGCTGAAGAACAGGCCTTTTTTCAGTCCTTTAAAAAGAAGAAACTGCTATGAAGCAAATCTCACTAAAAGGTCATGTTGTTTAGAGTCTCTGCCTCCAGTTTCAGGATCACCTCTGATAAATATTAGCACTTTCTCTTAATTACCCATACATATACAAAAATTTAGGTGTTCACACAAGAGGAGCAAGAACCGAAAGTCAAGAATACATGTAGCAGTCCATACACTTGCAGGGGATTTTGTTGGAATACCATCAAAATGACTCTCTCTGAAGTATCAAGAAATGTTTTTTCCAGCACGTTTTAAAAATGAAATACAAATGTCTTCAAGTGTCCCTCAACTTTGACTTACATCTCAGATAATACCCAAATAATTTATGCATAGAAAAAAAGTCCTTCCCACTGTGGACTTGTGAGCTTCTAGTATGCTTTCATTTCAGGAGGAAAGCGTTAATTTTAGTTACTATTTTAAAGCTACTATTAAATAATGGTTTGAAATAATAAAACCAGAGTAAGAATTTTAACCGAAGATTCTTACACTCAAGTTTTTTTTACAGATTCAGTGTTTTCCTATCCCAATAATCAAAATATTGCAAGACGAATTCTAACTCTTGAGCTGTGTCCACAGTACCCTCTTCAGTAATTGCTTTCACCAAGCTACTGAATTCATATGTTTCCAACTCCACCACTTCTAAAATGAAAGCAGAGATCCTACTTCACCATTAATTGCTAATCTGACACTGAAGCAGTGATTTCATTGCCATGGGTGATGGGATTGAGAACATCTGTATACCTTCACTCCCTTAACAGGTACAATAATAAGCTGTTAGTTCTTTAGGTGAACGACATGAATCTGTTGGAAAGAGGCTTCATTCTCTGCCCGTAATCAGTAACTTGAGGGCCTTCTGTAGATTCTGCACAGCAGTGCTGACATCTTCATACTGCAACGCACTGCCAGCATATTTGCAATATTTTTGAGCTCTCGCAAAGTCCTCTGGAGTCAAACGGACTTCCCCTGAAAAAACAGAAGTATTACAAAGTTACTACAAAGGAAATCTGACTGAGGCTTTCTTTCACATGATTTATGTTTTACTTATATTTGCGGCAATATATGAAAATCAGGCTAATATTTGTGTTAATATTACGAAGACCAAGCTACGGTATTTCTTCTGTTAGCTCTTCTTTCCATTCATACAATGATTAACTTCTTTGCCTCTGGCATTTGAAAAATGTAAGAGGACCTTTCTAAACACTGGTATTTGTATGATGCAGTGTCTTTTAAAAGTAAGTCAATAGCTTTGAGAAAGATCTGCTCTTCATCTAAGGTAGCAAAGGAGAGCTTTTTAAACGATAGCAAGTTGGCTGTAATCATATTACAACCTGCAAGAAACAAGGACAGTGTTTTTTGTTTGCAGTATAATTAGTTTGTTCTCTTCTTCAGGAATAGTTGGAAACTGTTCCTTCTCAACTGTAGTAACTTTGCGAAATGTAGAAGGATTTCCCACTGGCATGTTTTTGCACATTTTATATTTCTGTTTTATCCAGGTACTATTTATGCTTGCAATTTTCCATCAGAAGAAAACAAGATTGAGCCATCAAATGTAATGGAGAACAAAAAATATTCTCATAATATAAAACAATTTATTATTTATTAATCACAGTATTTTTTGACATAAGCTAAAATATTGAGAATTCTGTAATGTTCAAATACATGCATTCAGTCTTCTGGAAAGCATTGTAGGGGTTATTCCCTAACTGGCAGAAGATTCAGCATATGAATAGCCTCACTGATGTGCACAAAAAATAAGGCAGAGTTATGTTATTGTCCTTCCTTCCACCCAGAAATTCACTGGGAGTTTTAAGGCTAATACCATGCCTCTCCAATAACCTAGGGATATACTATAAAACTTTTACTCATGTTATTTCAGAACAACTTAATTGGTAAAATACTGATTTTTATGGACACAGATAAATACTTGTTTAATAGTTTCCCACCCAGCATTTTATAAGCAATGAACAGATTTCACAGATTAGAAGAAATACATTTTAAAATGCACCATAGATTTTTTTATATAAATTGGTTAAAGATTTAGCCAAGTACAGCTTTTCAATTTTAAGCAAGGATGTGAATATACTTAAATCCATTTTTCATGGTACAATTTCAGTTAGCTGGATCCCTTTCACAATAAAACTGTTGTCAGCAATACCGTGAGAATACTTACTAAAGAATCACAGCTCTTATCAGAAAAATGTCTATTATATTTGCTTTTCCTTTCCTCAATCTTATTATTTAAGAACAGCTTTTGAACAAATAACACTGAAAACCTGGGAATATTAAAAACCAGACTGGTCTGCTGGTTTCCAAAACAATCCTACCCCAATAAAAAGCAGAAGGTTAAGTGCTCTTAAGATTAATTTTACCATTTTTAAAATATACTCCAGAAGTCTACTTATTTTCCCTTCAATAAATAAATATAACCACAAAATAACTGTTGACTATTGAGGCACATGACAACTTGGTAGGCTCGTTATCACTGCAATGTGTATTAATTTACCACTGAAAAAGTGAAGCCACATAAAATCCCTTAAAATACACATACATGTGAGTAAACACACATGAAGCAGTGCATAAACACAGGAACACACTTAGGTTATTTTGTAACCTAAATAAAGTCACAGACTAAAAGCAGATGGGGTCAATCTGCAACCACATTACTGAACACCTTTAATAAATTTAAAAGACCAAGTTCCCCTCAAAGTGGCTTTACGCTATGATGCCAAAAGAAACTACAAAATCGTTCTTTAAAAACTGGCCAAGGCATCAGTCCAGTATTCAACTAATTTATTGGAAGGAAGCCTAAATTCACCAGCCTAATCTTATTTTTACAGTATGAGCTCTATTAATGTTTTGCTGGCATAAGGCCTTATTTATTATGAAATCTACTTCAGATGTTATTATGACATAACTTGAGGGAAGAAAGTTAACAATTTAAAATTTATAAACCAAAGTTTACACAGCAAGGGTGTTGATCTTTTGATGTTCTCAGCGGCCTTAGCTCCTATTGAAGTCAGCACCTCACAACGGACAAGCAGAATAGAAATAAAACAGCTCCATGTCGTTAAGTTTTCAAAATACTGTGAAACTTAACTATAATGTTTGCACTTGCAGTAAAGGTATAACCTCAAAAGTTAGTGGCTTCACTTTATAAATTCTAAGGGTTAAGCAGCTTTGCTGAAAAGGACCTGTGGGTCCTGGTGACCACGAATTTGTGCATGAGCCATCTGCCCTCGCAGCAAAGAGGGCTAATGGCATTCTGGGGTGCATTATGAAGAGTGTTGCCAGCAGGTAGAGGGAGATGCCCTTTATTCAGAGCTAGCGAGGTCACGTTTGGAGTGCTGTGTCCAGTTTTGGATTCCTCAGTACAGAAGGGAGATTAGCATCCTGAAGAGAGTCCAGTAAAGGATCACAAAGACAATAAAAGGACTGGAGCAACTGAGGAGAGGCTGAGAGAGCTGAGACTGTTCAGCCTGGAGAAGAGAAGGCTCAGGGGGATCCCATCAATGTACCCAAATACCTGAAGGGAAGATGCATAGATATGGATGGAACTAGGCTCTTTTCAGCGGTGCCCAGTGACAGAACCAGTAGGCACAAACTGAAACACAGAAGGGGCCTGTCTGAACATCAGGAAACTCTACTGAGAGAGTGATCAAGCACTGTCACAGGTTGCCCAGAGAGGTCGTGGAGTCTCCATCCTTGGAGAGATGGAGACTGTCTTTGCAATTAATAGTTCATTTGTTGCTCAAACTTTTTCTTTAGGTGCTGCAAATTAAATCATTGGGAGAGTACAGGGGCAGGAGGAGACACAAGGGACATGGACCTGAGCAATCAGTTTTACAGGACCCTTGCTTGAGCAAAAAGGTTGGACAACCTCCAGAAGTCCCTTCCAATCTTAACCACTCTGAGACGGTGAGTTCTAAAAAAGCCCAACAAGACTGAGATGGGAAAAGTATAGCGTATTTATCCTGAAACAAACCTTCTTCTACGTTAATCTGAAATTATTAGCACAATAGCTATTTTTCTTACTGAAATGTGACAGACATAACAAGCATGATTCTTTTAGTTTAAGAGGAACACGAAGTGAATATCAAAAGGCAATTTGACTAAAGCTGAAAATAGTGTTTGAAAAAAAAGCAGGTTTAGAATGAAAATAACTTGTAGTTTACATGATATATATGCTTCTCCTTGGTATCCTTTTCTATTTATCAGATGCTTTTTTCGTTTTATGAAGTTGTCGAAATACAAGGCAGCTGATTAAGAGACTTTTAATAATGCAATCTCATGTATAAAAAGAGTAATGGCAAAGGTAAGTGAAATGGTTTTTGAAACAAGATGCTTTTTTATCCCATTTAAGATATTTAAAATATAAATCCTCAAATATTTCTTCTCAAGATCATGAAAATCCATAAAATGTCAAATTATGACTTCTATTTCATGTCTAGAAAATCAAACACCATCACACACAACTAGAATGGACAAATGGTTTCTCTATACTATGCCACCTGTGGAAGGGAGCATATGGTAATGTAAGATCTTATAAAAACTCTATGTAGCAGAAACGTGAATGCATTTAGTGTTAGCAAAATCTATGGGTAATTTAAGCAAACTACACCAGAGAAGTACATGCACACATTACACAAAGTTGCTGTGTAGCAATACATTCTGTTGTCAGAGACATTAAACAACGTTTAGTTGCGTAAGCTTTCACACTTTCAAAAGTCAATGTTAAATTCTGAAACCTGTTCTCACAGGACAGGACAGTTATTAAAGGATTCACACCAATGACAATCAAAGGAATACTGTTGCTTAATTTTCTTTTGATAAAATACTCCACTCTTTAATCAAACTGCTTCTCCCATGTTATGGAAAGGAAAGAAAATATATAATTTATTTTAAAAATATACATTTGATCTTACTACCAGAAAAAGTCTTGCAGGAATATGTGGAATATCCTGTTTGGCTATGTCTATACTAGCGCATTCAACAGTGCCAGCATCTCAGCACTCATACTTGACTGTCTACACTGTCAAACTGCTGGAACAGGTTCCAGTATGGTTTTGGCCCATATGAACCAGCACTTTCGCAAACAATTCCTGAGCATGACTTGTGGCCAGAGCAGGCTAGAGACCATTTAATATTGGCAGGCTTCACAAACTACCTTGTTTAGAAGGTTTAAAAGTTTAATAGTATGGATTTGAGTAGTTCTGTGCCAGCTGCTCTCAGAGTCAAACATTTAAAGGCATGTTTAATTTATTAGTAGAGACACAGACATCGTGTCTAAATCACGAAGCAAGTGTACTTTGCACTGTGCTAGCTCTATGAACCTACTGGAGGGAAAACACTGATCCTTCCTTCCTGTCCAAAGGAAGCTTCAGTTCTATAGGAATAGGGCATACCAAAGTTTAACCTAAATACACAATCAGTTTCTAATCCAATATATAGTAACTCATAAGATGGGGAGTGCTCCTGGGTCCCACAGTTTAGAATGTGTGTTGTGAAATATGGGGATTTCTAAATCTGCTTGCAGGTCACAGAACAAGGCTACCGTGGAACACAGTACTGCTGGCACAAAAAGGACTCCTCAGCAGCATGAGGAAAAAAACAGTATTATCTGCTGCTGCTCTTACATGTACGGCTGAAAGGAAGATGCTTTGGGTAACAACCAGGCATGAGTGACAGGCTGGTGACAGGCAAGGACACTTTCTATTGCTCTCAAGCTTCTTAATTTGACACATGCCAACCAAACCATTACTGTATCTCTGCTGACTGACATCTCACTTATGCCCTCTCAAACTTCATCAACGACCTGGATGAGGGGATAGAATCCACCCACAGCAAGTTCAGTGATGATACAAAACTGGGAGGGGTGGCTGACACACCTGAAGGCTGTGCTGCTATCCAATGAGATTTGGACAGGCTGGGAAGCGGGGGGAAAGGGAAC